AACTCCTGTCCTGGGTCTCTGAGAAAGGCAGGCCTGCCTGGGACCTTGATCAGAAATGACACTCGGCTCTTGGGACGCTGCCCTTGCTGACCTCCTGGTTGTGCAAGAGGAAGGCTGGGCCTCCTGCTGTACCAGCAGACATGCCGGCTCCCGCGGGTCCTCGCCGCCGGGCCTTCCCCTTCGGCGGAGAAGCCGAGCCCCCGGAACGCTCAGTTCAAGGCGGAGCTGGGCCTGGACTCGATGCTTCCCTGCCATTTCCTTAATCCCGTCCTGAGCAGCGGGTCCTTGTCACCATCTCCCTCGTCGCCGCGTGTGTGGCCGCCATCGGACACCTTCCCATTGGCACTCAGCTGAGAGCTGCAGGGACAACCTCTGCAGGGGACACGCAGTTCAGTGCCCATGGCGCTGTCCACGGCGGGGTCACACCAGCTGGTGCTCGTGAGCGCTCCCTATGGGCAGATGCTGGGCATCCTGCGGATCTTGCGAGGGCCTGGGAGACAGATGCCACGGGGCTGTTTACACATGTGGAAACTGAGTCCCAGGGAGGAAATTCCACTCGGCCAATCAGTGGCAAGGCCAGGGCCGGGACCTGGAAGCCTGGCGCTGTAATCGCTGTTCCTCCGGCTGCTCAGGGACCGGGGCAGGTGGGAAGGGGCCCCCCGCCTCCTCCTCCATGGAACTCCCAGAACACGTAGCTGGGGTCACCCCTCGGTGGAACCCTGTGGGAATCCCCTTTAGAGAAGAGATTTCTGCATGTTCTCATGTAGAGCCCCCTACCCCCCCGACCCAACCATGGAACCTGGGGTGAAAGCTGCCGGTTTCCCGTCCGAAATCATACCTGAGCGTGGGCTGGCCTCGCTCCTACGCCCTCGGAAGACGCTCAGGGGGACCAGAGTGCGGAGCATGGTTAGGGTGGGCCAGTGTGAGTCCCATTGGGGGGATATGTAAGCTGATAAGAAACAGCAAACCTTCAAAACAGTCCATGTCGTCGACCTGCGGGTCCTGGCTGCCGGGAAGGGCGGGAGAGCGGTGGTGATAAACACCTCCGTCAAGAGTGTGTGTCTGCTGCCCAGAACCGACGGGCCTCCATCCAGTTATTGGTCGGGATCTTTTCCTAAAATCAACCTGCCGCTCGGATCTCATTTCTGCTCCCAGAAAACCTACAGAAGGGGAGGGTGAGATAGAAGAAGGGGATCAGGGGATCCAGGAGGCAGCAGAGTGGGGGACCACTGGTTGGCGTCGCCATGCATGTATTCATTTATGTAGAGGACAACATTAACAACTGCTGCTACTGTAAAGCATTTGTTATTCCTTCAATCTGCATGTATTTACCGAGCACCTATGATGCGCCAGGCGCTGGGCCAGGTGTTCGGGATGCATGGATGTACGTATGTATCCGCCGGAACTCATATTTGAGTAGACAGTGGAAGACAAACATCACGAACAAGCACAATACGGGAGGGAGAAGAGGGTCATGTTAGTGGGAGTTTTCTAAGGAACCAGTGCCGGATGGAGTAGATTGTTGGGTTTTATCAGTAGGAGGACCGTAGGAGAGGCCATGGGGAGGCAGGACGAAGAGGCAGGAGCTGGGAACGCCTGGGAGAGGGGTCAGACCTGGTGCGAGTCTGACCCGGGTGAAGGAGAGAGGGAGGCAGGGTCTAAGGAAGGTCGCCAACGCTACAGAGAGTCTTGGAGCCCAGGTCCGCCGCCCGAATCCTGTGTCTCCTCGATCGCCTGCTTTTGGGGCCCAGCCATGGGCTCAGAGCAACCCCGGGGAGGCGGGTCCTGATGCAAACACAGGGATAAAGTTCAGAGTCCACAGCCCAGACCCTGGGCCCGTTATGCTCCCGGAGTTGGATTCTGAGTGGCACATCCTCACGACAGCCACAGTGAGAACGGCTGCGGGCAGAACACAGAACAAGGGAGGGAAACCATCACTTGTGGGTGGCAAGCTGCAGTTTAGAGTCGGGCCATCAGGTTGCCTCAGTGAGAAGGAGCATGTGGACAAGGCCTTGGAGGGGGCGGGAGTTAGCCTTGAGGACACCAGTGGAAAGAGCGTATCGGGAAAAGCCTGTGCAAAAGCCCTGAGGTGGACTGCATCCAGCATGTTTCAGGAACAAGGTGATCCAACAGGGAGGAAGGAGAGGATGGTGGCGGGGATGTGGCTGGAAATGGAGCAGGTGTCAGTTCAGGCAGGGTCCTGTGGGCCACTGTGAGGTCTCGGGCTGCTCCCCGTGTGGGGCAGGAGGCCACGGAGATGTTTTGAAGCCGGAGGCCGGGCGGCCGGGAAGGATGCCACTGCAGTTGAGAAACGATGGCAGCTGGAGCCCAGGAGGTAGCAGCGAGGGCAGTGGGGATGGGTTGGACCGTGGATGTGTTTTAAAGTGGAACGACCAGGATTTCCTGCGGTTGGATGTGGGGTTTGAGGAGAGAGGCTTCGAGGTAACTCTCAGACTCTCGGACGGAGCACATGGCAGTTGCCATCGGCTGAGGTGGGAAGAATACCTCATGCACGACACACAGACCTGATCGTTCTGATGATTTGTGGCATGGTTGTTCAGACAGGACACGGCCTACAGCCATGTCTTCCTAGGCGTTTGCTTCAAGATTAGACTGCGACTTTCCTGTAAGTGAAGTATTCCGGAGGTCCCCCGTGCGTGCTCCTCCTACGCCCCCTAAAGAAGAATTCTCCTAGCGGACAGCAGCACGTGTGCGTTCGTCATGCTGCTTTCTCTTTGATCATCACAGTTTTGTTTTTTCAGGCCCAGTTTCCTAGAATTCCGACCACGGCCGCATTTAGCGCAGGAGGATATGTAACCAAGCCCCGGGGGCCTTTGGAGATGAAGGAGGCAGCTGTTTCCTGAGCACGGCCTTGGGGACCCAACAGCCTATAGAAATAGCCACAGATTAAAAAAAAAACCCCATGAACAAACCAAGCACACACAGCCTAGTAATCCCCCCACACCTGGCAAACGGAACCGAAGTGCTCCGTAGCCGAGAGCGTCCCCTTCTCACACGCGCACGGCAGGAGAAACGCATGCTGAACATAGCTGGGGCCTTAGCCTCGGTCTCCTCTGCCCCGCGGACAGGTGGACGTGGAAATACCGGCATCATGGGACGTGTCGGCGTTGCTGTGAGCCGGGGAGAGGTCAGGGGCCAGCAGTCCGCGTGTGCATTCCTCCCAGATCAAAGACAACAGGTGCCTCCGCCCAGTGGCTTCCTCTCCATCCGCTGACACTCGCTCGTGCAGACGTTGGGGCGTCCACACCCCCGCACCGCGTGCGCCGTCGAGGGGAGAGAAAGGGCCACGTAGGCTGGGCTTTTCACGTCCTTGTTCTGAGTTGAGGCTCTGTGAGGACGGCCCGTTGCCTGACTCACTTCCCCTCCTTTGTAGGCTGGGTGCCGGAGCTTCCTCGCCATTGTTCTGGGGTTGGGTGTTTTCAGAAACCCTGTTTGCTGGGATGCCCTCCCCCGGGCGCTTTCATTTCCAGCCGAGTCGACGCTGTTTAAAATGTTTGCCCCAAAGAGTGTGTCCGAGCTCCGAAGCGCCTGGCCTAGGCCGCGGTCTGCGATCGCACGCGGAGGCTGGGGTTGGCGTTGGTGGTTCGGTTTGCCTTCTGTGTGTGTGCTCAGCTGCTCTTCGAACCGGGCGTGTAGAGCTTTTGTTTTGGAAAATGATTTCTCCATTTCCTCCCAAGTTGGTGATTTTCGTTGAAGGAGTAGCGGATTGCAAGCGTCACCGTTGAGTAGCTGCAAGTTTTCGCCCTAGATTTCCACAGAGGAATCCTGAGTGGGGCCCCTCTTGTTGCTGAAACGCCTGCCTGCCCTGTCCCGTTCTCCTTACGTGTGACTCTCCTTTTCCCATGGGGTCTGCACTGGGATCATAAATGCAAAGAGAGAAGTTGAAACTGACCGTGGAGGAGCTGTGCTCCCCGGAAAGAAGTCATTGATCCTGGAGTCCGACTTGTTCCTGAATTTCGACACAGGGAGTCCTAGGTCTGATAGCTAGACCTGCATTCCCTGAGAAGGCAGGCCCACGGGACAGCATGGCCCCCCGGGAGTGCAGGTGGGGCCCTGGATGGGGAATTGTAGAGGGTGACACCACTAAACGGGGACTCCGGTCACTTGTCCATTCATTCGTCTACACGTCGCACGTCGGTGAACAT